CGGGCGCCAGTTTTATTGTATTCAGTGGAGCCCTCAAGTCGAGCACTGGACTCACTGCCAAAATGTCTATCGTTGAGGACGGACTGCTCGTTCAGATCCCTCCCAACACAATGACTCAATTGAGGAACTCTATTAAAGACATGAAAGACTATGACATCAAATGTGGTAAAATTGATTCACTGCCAGAAGAGGTGATACATATGTCGTGGGCTGAAGAGGACATGACTGTCAACCTCGGGTTTGTTACTCTCTTATTAGCATTTGTTTTAGAATTTTAATTTCAATTGACTGTCAAATAGCGTCCGAAGTCCTATTGACGCTACAAATCTGGAGGGAATTCAAAGCATACGAATATACAACGGAACCGATTATACAAACAATAAGTTTGTGATCCGATGGACAGAAGTGTTCTTTCTTCACGTCAATGAAAACAGTCGAAGGTATTGACCATTTGGTTGCAGATAATTATTTCTAACACTTGTATTGAATCCAATGAAGGAATGATTCGTTAGACTCGAGTAGATTAGCCGAAATGATATCTCAAGCATTTTGTTTGGCATTGATTTCGTGTTTGGATCAGTTGTTTGACAGCGGGTGCACTAAAATCGGTTTAAGAATTAATTTGGATTCCGATAAAGTAATGCTTTGATTCAGTGATTACTGACTTATGAATGCATTCATTGAATTGATTGACTCTATGAACTACAGGTAGGATATGAAGTGGGAAGCAATGGCACGTCTCTACCGCCCCAATACAGCACTGAATTGGACGGCGCACTCATACCTGTCATTATGGACAACATCTCGACCGGCATTGAAGACCAACTCGTTATGGAATTATTGTTTCATATTTTAGTGAAATAAGCGATACTTTTATTTATATTAATACCAGAATTACTATAAAGTTTTATATTATAATTGAGTTTTTGGTTTTCATTGAGAGTAAATTGTTTTAATTTATAAATATATTTACAACAAAATAGCAATTATTTTAATGTATGAATCAAAATAAATTGAGGCCTTAATTGGAAACCAATTAAATTGTTAAGTTGATCAGGGTACAACTTTTACAGGCTGTAAATGACAGCAAAGTTTGGCAGGGGTTCTGCGATTACGCATAAATGCCGTGACGTTTGGTAACGTAATGCATGAGTGGAAAGTTGAAGTCATTGTGAGCCTTGAAGTGTTTGTCTGACAGACTGTTTGTGTGAACACTAATCAATCGATTACTCAATCATACAATGAATTCAATTCACTTCATGTGACCATTGAGTGAATGAACAACAAAACAATCACTTCTTAATTCATTCATTCATTTCTTCATTCATTGAAAGCAATTGTTTGAAAACTGCTTTTTAATTGCTATTACTTTGCGATCACATCATTACTGATTGTCTCCCGAAATCACCATTACTTTCATTGTTTTCGTTTGTTTTCAACTAATTATTGGCTCAAATTTCTTAACTAAATCTCATTTTTAGTGTTTTTGGGTAAGTGTTCAACCAATTTGTCAGTCATTCATGTGTTTTACACTTTTTAGTAATTGTTTTGTGAAATCAAGTTTCAGTTAATTAGTGCCCAAATCAGACAAATTGGTTTCCCTTTGACTCAACTGTTAGTGTCTTGTGATCACCGATGGATTCGTTCAATGATTTAGCCGCGAATGGCGGACATAATGGGCAACAAATGCCACAAATGAGCGCTGAGTCGACGGCTAGAGTGCGGCCGCCATCCGACCACTACCTGACAGACCATATGCCGCCTCAACACAGAACTCATTACAACTCACCGCCGATGGAGACACAGATGAGACGACCCAACACTTCGTACAACGACTCGATCAGTGAACTCACAAAACAAACCAATTTATTGTCGTTTGGAGTGAACGATAAAAACAATTACAACAGTATTGGCGGCGCAGGAGATCTCAGCAACAACTCGTGGATTGCCTCAGGTTTTGGTCCACTCTTTCATATGCCTATTGTTTGACATTAGAGATCACTTTATGGATGTGATGACCGACTGACTGCATGTTTGCGGACAATATGTCACATAAGAGTAGTCTTTGTAGTGTTTGTGAAACTCTTGTCACAAAACTTTTATCTNATGTTTGCGGACAATATGTCACATAAGAGTAGTCTTTGTAGTGTTTGTGAAACTCTTGTCACAAAACTTTTATCTTTGCTTCTTATCAGTGAACGACTTACTGATACAAATGTAATCCATACCATACCATACCATACCCTATGGATTATATTGTAAATCCATTAGATTTACGATTTAGAAGTACTACAACTGTATTGCCTTTAAGTAGTAAACAATTATTGACTGTAGAGATGATTGCATGTGAATTGACTCCAATACAGAGATTACATTTGAATGATTGCATAATTTATTTGTTTATCAATAACAGAACCCAAAGGGCAGTCCTCTCAGAGTCTTTCCAGCGGTTCAATGGCGGGCCTAATGGACAGCAAGTTATCTCCTTTTGCCAAAGAATTCATACCGCGAACGACGATGAGTTACCCGACGGCCCCATCCGTGTCCAACGGCTGGAACGCCAATCCCGGTCGTGTGGATCCAGTGGACAGAGACTTCGATGACTTCATTGCGTGCACTTATTTGAGGGAATTTATCGATACGATTACTATTAAACCG